GTTAAGGGGGCATTCTGGTTACATTTTGGGGCAAATTCACTTGCATATAAAATAATGCATAAAAAATTTACAATTGAGAGAAAACAGTCAAAACTTGGCACATGCATTAATCAATGACTAATAAGTAAGACAACATGATCAATAGACACCAGAATCTTTAATGAAGTTAATTATTAACTAATGAATTCAGGAGACAATTTTTTACTTGTTCTAGCTTCCCCTTGAAATTCTTGTGTTCTAAAAGAGCTATAGAGCTGTAACTTAGTACAAAGCACTTACACAACACACTCAACAAAGTAATTGAGCCTTTTGGGGTTTTGCCAACTGTAGTTACCATGGCAACCATTTGTCAACAGAGAATATTTAACAGACTGTAATTTCTGTTTTATGTGCAATTTTCAAAAAAGGCTCAATTAATTTGTTAACCATAATATCTATTATAACTGTGCAAAATATGGTGAAAATATGTTGAAATGCTCTTAAGATATTTAAGGGGCAAGTACGAAAACAACAAAATTTCCATAATTTGATAATTAATTATAGTTAGATACTACCTAGAGCCCCTTGACTTACATAAACTCACAAATTTACATTGATACACTGCTCACACCTATCCTAACTGTCTCTACCTGTTCCTTTCTTTCTTTTGAGGCTCTCTGAGAGTAGCAATGTCATTAAAACTGCCTGCTTCATATGTCACTCCTTCTCTCCTGACTCGGAGTTCTTCTTCTTTTGCTTTTGCTTGTTTCCTTGCAAGCCTATATTTCTTGTGCTTTTCTTGCACTCTTGCCACAGCCTGTTTTACTCTTCCTGAGTCTCTTCTTTCACTAGCTCTGTTGGTATGGTGTCCCACAACAAGCCCTGCTTCCCTCATAACATTGTTTCTTAGTTGCGCCACAACTAAAATGAAGGGCAGCAGCATTTGCCACCATCACTATTCTCTTTGATCCATGCCACTTGTGCTTTGGACACTTTCCAGACATGAGAATTGATAGATTCATTGGCATTGTGTGTAGCCAGGCAAACACCTTTGCAACAATGCTGACTCACTTAATCTTTCATAAATCTTTAGCAATGGCTCTTTGAAGACAGCATCCAAATGATGAGGCTTGTCTTTGCAGGCTAAGCCAGCACAATGATTAGCAGTAAAACCCCTCTTTGACCAAGTGCAATCAAAGGTGACAGGGATATCAACAAGAGAACTGTTATCATTTCTTGAGGTTCTTCTATCTATTGCGACTTGTTTTGCTTCATTCTCATTGACTTTAAGCTGCTCCTTGGTGACTTTGTCGTGTGCAGCATGAAGAATTTCCTCATGGCTATACCAAGTGTCTATCGAAATGCTGAATGGCATGTTTAGGATTTCACATAGCTTAGCCACCCCTTCTCTACCAATTCCCATCTCAAAAGCAGCATTAACTACTAGTCTATTGATATCTTTACCCTAGATGGTTCTCGGGGTCTCTTGATCACCATCATGCTCTCCTGTAGCCATAAATTCCTCCATGCCACACTCATGGCACTGAGCAAAGAAAGAGCTGCTGATAACAAATCTCTCAATGCTTCTCTCAATCAGCTTAACATTGCCTAAAATAAAATAGTTATATGTAAGACACTATAGTATAGCCACAGACAAACATTATGTGCTCGCAAATAAAGAAAAATTTAAAAAAACATATAACACACCTGAAGCACTTGGTCCACGCGAGTGAATCCTTCGAACAAACTTTAACAAACTGTCCATAGAAACAAGCTGATAGCCTTTTACTTTTTCCTAAAATTCATAACTCTCGGAATCAGATGATTCTTGTTCTTGGGCACCTAGTTGCCGCGAAGAAGCTGGAGTTTTGGACGGAGGAATTCTTTCACTTACAACATCCTCTTCGCCAACAAATGTGACAGCAACGGTTGCAGTCTGATCACGCGTTTTTGCCCTCAAAACAGTTTGTTTTTTAACTCCCCAGCAGCCTTTTTTCTTCCTTTACTTATTCTTCTGAATAGTCGACTGTTTTGAGCCATATTTAGGCATTATAACAATGATATTTTGGGTGTATACGAAATATAAACAATAGCGACGCGAAGCGTTGTTATGAAGCAACACGAGTTTACTCTTTGAGCTGAGTAGCCAGGCTCTAATCAGAAAATCTAGACCCAGGGACGTGGATCTAGGACTTCTGGATCCCACAGACTCAATTCAGCTGATTTTTTGTTTTTCTATTGTAAATTTAGCTGAAATTCTGATTGGTTTCGCTTTCGTTGCCATGGTAACGGAAACGTAAAATAATAGAGGCCTCTCTTTATGTGGATTTTTTTTGATAAAAGCGTTCTTTGTTGGGTAAAAGAATATTATATCCTAAAAATAGATAAACTTAAGTGACCTTTAAGGGCATAAAAGAAATTTTACATTTCTTTTGGGAATTTTTGGATTTTTTGACCAGAATGCCCCCTTAATGAGGTGATGCATTGAAATGCCCGTTAGAGAGGGTCCACAATAGGTTTGGCGGAATGCGGGATTTGGCTATTTTTCGTGGTGATATTCGGGATATGAGCTGAAAACAGAAGCGGTATGCAGGAATTTTAACAACCAGCGTGAGCGGGATTTCCTACTTTTATGGGGATGGGATTCGGGATACGGGAATTTAGTTTAGTCTTGACTAAAAATTCATTAGCGTTGACTGAAAAAAAAAATGGTTCTTAAGTGTGTATACCGCGTTTGTAGTCAAGCTATGAGTGTCAAAGGAAGTGAAGCCGGTCAAATTTTGCTCATTATCACTTTTTTGTGTTGTTCGTCTTTTCCGATTTTACTATTTTCGCCGTTTTCGTCACTCGGAAAGAGATATCAAATCACTGAAGTTAGAGGTCAAGATCCTGCAGTCATTCCTGCTTTGTTGACGGATTTGACCTTTTCTGCTTCTGCCTGGGACCTGTCGGACCTGGACGATTCTTTGGACTGAGCGTATGCGCGCACCAACTGTTTCAAGGTAATCACCACTCTGCATGAACGGAAACCACTGCATTTCTAGATGCAGTCGGAAAGATATACAAGGCTTTATCCGTCCACGAGAAGCATGCAAAGTACGAACTTTGCAGTCTACAAGATGCCGTTACACTGCTTAAAGAAACGTTGCAATATCTTCGCCGAAACGAGGCCTCGATTCGCGGTGAAATCCAAAGCTTGCCAAGGTCCCTTAATGGACCACAGGGAAATGTGGCTAAGAAGACAATAGAGTCTGTTTTATTGTTGCAGTCTGGCCTTCAGAGACTTTAAGACCTGTTAGCGCCAATGGGTTATAATTGGACCAACCTCCTGAGCTGCATGACATTAGATGTAGAGAACTGTCACTCTGTGGTCCATCAGAAATCACCTTTATGGACTTCCCTTGAATATGCCAGCAATTTCGGAAACGCTGTCAAGGAAAGTGTAAAGAAGACAACAAACTGAGCGGCATTTTATTATACCAACCCAAAGTCGTGGTATCCCGTTCCAGACCGCGCAGTTTTTTAATAATTTTTTTAAATAAAGACTAGTCAGCAGCACTTCTGCGAACAGTAGTTGGAAAACTTTTTTTTGTTTTCCTACGCATTTCGTCTAACTTTCGTAGACTTCTTCAGGGAGTTTTACAAGTATAACTAAACGCCTGTATTTATAAGCCAAAGTTACAGGGGCCGATGACCGTAAAGGCTTGGTCGGACTTACGAACAGGAACAGGCGAAGTTGTGAAAAATGTGTGAAAAATTTAACACGTGTAAGGCAAGGTGAGAAAAATATTTTGGGGGCCACGGTTTTAGCTAAAAACGTGGCCCCCACCTTGGCCCCACTTTGGCCCCACTTTTGCCCTCTCCCCACTTTGGCTTATAAATATAGGCGTTTAGTTATACTTGTAAAACTCCCTGAAGAAGTCTACGACAGTTAGACGAAACGCGTAGGAAAATAAAAAAAGTTTTGCAACTACTATACTGTTCACAGAAGTGCTGCTCACTAGTCAATATCTAAAATATTATTTAAAAAATTAAAAAGTCATTGAAATTTCATTAGCGCCATAACTTCCACCTGGAGTTATAAGTGCCCAAAACGCCCAGCTTATGAGGGAATGGGCATATACCTATGGGGCTGGAGTTCGTCAATAAACCGTCCAACAAGAAACGACCATGGCAAGGGCTGGAACGCTCCCCGATTTCTTGTACGAGAAAGACATTGTGCCAGGGGAAAGCGTTGACCTAACAGGAGATGTCGGCCTTTCTGACGAATATGATACAAGTAGCAGTGCGGAAGAAGAAGACACCGAAGACCAGTTGGAGAAGGATCTGTAAGGGTCACCACTTTGGATGGTAAAGCAAACTTCCTGCTTGGAAGGGCGTCCGCCTTTGGTCGTGCTATTAAATTTAATAGCAGGTTTATGTTTCTTAAAAGAGACCAGTGTGTTTATATACAATTATTTCCATGTCCTAAACTCAATGTAAACAATTTACAGAATTAACTTCATCGCCTGATGGAAACTAGCAGCAAAGCAGTCGAATCTTCGAAAGTCAGACAGATAACATCAATCTATCTAATTCCAACAATACTGGACTTAAAGTATCGAGGTAAACATGTACCAATGCGAGGACCAAAAAATAATGAAGCAAAACAGAAAATGAAGTTATGGTCGCTAATTGTTACGTTGAGAACCTGGAACATCAAAACTGACAATTGATAGAAGGTAAGTCATAATGCCTATTTCAATGATCAAGCAAAACATGTCAAAAATCTCGTAAAAAAATGGGGCGGGATCGGGATCCGAGCGTAAAAAGGGGCGGGATGGTGGGATTGAGAAGAAAAGAAGGCGGGAAAGCGGGATTTGAGAACCCCTATTGTGGACCCTCGTAAGGGTTGTGCACAGTCAGATCACAACAAAAACAAATACCAAATAACAAACCTGCGGAGTCACATTTTATTAATAGACTGGCTGACTAGGATTTTATTTTGTGACATTTTCCGCTGTCCACCCATGGAAAAAAAGCATCCGACAAAATTATGTCTCAATAGATGTAATCTATGAATCCATCGGTTGGATTTTTCAACTTCTCCAAAATCTTCGGTTGCGTTCGGACACGTTCGTACCAAGTTGACAGAGAAGGAAACTTTGTCAAATCCTCGGGAATTCCTTCAGCTTTTCCCTTCATGAAATAACTGTTCAGGAAGGTGAACACCACGATATCGGCATAAGTCAGCTGTAGAAAGTAACACAATGATTAAGACCACCATCACTGAGGTCATTGTAATCGTCAGTTTAATGGTTATTGTTATGGTCATTGTTATGGTCATTGTTATTGACATCAAAAGCGTCACCGCTTCCTGCACCGGGTAAGTCATTCGTTGTTTATGTTCCTATCATTAGCATTGCTGTTTGCCTTCTTTTAGCCCTCCTACAGGCCTTCATTATAAGCGCCTCGGCACGAGTGTTTCCTCGCCTGCAGGTTAGTGTAAAGCCGTTGCTTCGCGAGCCGGTAAGATCTGCAAAGGGTCTCGCAATGTTAGTGCCAGACCCCACACAGATATCTTCCTGACCCGTCCCAAATCTTCTTGTGGGCGGAGGAACGCATGTCCTGAAGCGCTAGTAATGAGGGAGATCTAGAACTTCTTTATTTTGTAATTATGCCTGATTTTGGCCTACCTTTTCACCAATGAAGAATCCATGTTTATTGGCTGACAAGATCTTTTCAAAGTATCCACATTTCTCTGGAATCACTTCTTTGGTGGCGGTCTTCATAGCTTTTTCCTGGTTCGTGCACGTGGAAGAAAATTACGGTTTCGCAAAACGCAAATTAGTTTCTCTTAAGATCCTACCTCCCTAAAAGCCGAAATAGTGGGACTCTTCAAGTTCACTCGCTCATCTCGTACGCTCGGTCGCTCGTTCGCTCGTTCGCTCGTTCGCTCGTTTACTCGTTCCGTCGTTCGCTCGTTTGTTCGTTCGTTCGCCTTTCCGGTAGTTATCATCAGGATAAACACACCTTTCTTTCCGGGTCTTTTTCGCCATCTGCCTGCGTTAACATGGTCTCTAAATCGTCGACCACGTGAGCCAAAGAATCTGCCTGAGCCTGCTGAAGATTACCTTCTGGAGCAAGATCTGAAAAGAAAGCGTAGCACGCGCTTTCATAATCAACAGTTTGCAGAAAGATTATCACACTAAGTTGTTGGGAGTAATCTTTGATACCATAAAATAAAAACGAACAAAACGAAAAAACGGGCAAGTAGCTGAAATGTTTTAGTAGGCTACTGGGTCAATGGGCTTTATTATGGCAAGATCGAATTTCTTTGAATGATATTTTCATTCAGATCAAAGTGGTAAAGAGAAGAATCTACAAGTCTTTCCTGAAGTTGAGCGGTTGGCCTATGTTTTCGTGGGAGTTTTACCCTCAACATCCTTCATCTTAGTCATTGCTAAACCGCAGGATGATCTTCACCACGTGTGGCCTGTAAACAAAGCGTTGCACGCCAACTCTTTTTATGGGTTGGTCATTTGAGATGTGTCTCGGGGCGTAAGGGCGTGAACAATAATATAGAGTATGCGTACAGGCATACACGCGTTTTTTTTTGTTTGTTCTTTCGTTTTTGTTTCTTTTTGCCTACCTCGCTTCGAACGTCACTAGCACTTCGCGCTCACCTCATGCTTGCCTCCAATGGCCTGAAATTCTTGTTTTGCAGGCTGTGAGAGTGTAGTTTCTCTATGCCCTTCACGCAAGCCACAACAATTGGGGAGGGATAATTGCATGACGGAGCGGGAATAGGTTGGAACGTTCATTTAGCAGTTTACTTTACAACGGGAGTTAATTAGTTTGTTTACTTAAAATAGGATGATCGTGACTTACTGAATTCCTTGGCTAGATAGCTTAGAATAGCCTTGGATTGCGTGAGGACTGTGCCATCGACCTCAAGGATTGGTAGCTGACCAGAAGGGCTGAACCCAGCTGACAAAACAACGAAACAGAGATTATGATAAGCAGAAAGACAATCAAGGATGGATTCACTACTTTCTATGTACTACCTTTGATTTACGCATCCCATCATTAATTTGCAACTCTCTACAACGAACCCCACCCCTCTTCCTTTCCCCGTGGTACCTTTGAGACCTAAATTTACTAAACCTTCCTCCGCACCCCCCTCCCCCGCGTGCAACACAAAGGCTCTCCTGACAGTCATTCAAATCGTGCACTTTGTTCAATAACAATTCATGTTGTTGACAATTGAAATAATCCCAACGGAATTGATTGCTTCTAAATGAAAAATATTTTGGCATCCAAAGCAAACAACGGATGACATAAAATAGCTGTGATTAATAAGGTAACGATTGAAAAGCAATCTGACACTTAAGATTTTTTCGTAGCTCAGCGATTTCGATCAAAGTCCTTGAGCGAAAAATACTCGTTAAATAGTCAGAGACCACATCTTTCAAGGTTAAAGAAATAGGGAAAATATTTTTTGAGTAAAAGTGGGATTTCTTTTGTGACAGAAATTGACTGTAAATGTTTGTGAACGCCACCAGCCTGGTTATAATTTACACAAATTGACAGATTTGACTACGTGTAACATCTCATGGGGTTTTACACACATTAAGATTTAAGATAATTCTTGTACGAACTGTGCACATATATTTTCCGTGAAGTCAATCCCATTGATTGCTCAGATTGAGGACGACAAAGCTCTTGCACGAAACATTTTATAATCTTTCGCTGGATTTTTAAATCGACGCAGAGGATACCACGTCACTCTTTCATACTCACAGCGTTTCAGGTTTGTAAACCACGCTTCCGGATTTACGAGGCTGTCATCGAACTGAACTCCAGCCACTGCGAAGGTTATTCTAATGGCTTCGGCTCTTCCTCTTAGTGGAAAGTAAGAAAGCTTATATTTCGGCATCGCGTTGGACGAAGAAGGAAAGGTGTCTGAGAATGTGGCGTGGTTTACTTTGGTGGCGGAGATGTGACCTTCGAGGTTCAACAGCGAAAGACAGAACCAATAGTAGAGTGGTTATTTGACTCCGACGAAATTTCGACAGAGGTGGGCACAGGGTGGCGTTAGGGTCGGAACTTGATATTTTGAGTTTTGAATGAACTCTTGTGCGCATCCTGTGATATCCTCGCAGATTAATGCGATTTGTCAGCTGATTTAACTACAAGGATAATAAGCATTTCTAAAATTCCTCCCTAAACAAGGCGTCTTTTTAATCCCCGTAGCCCTCCCTGTCCACTCCCGAGGGGGAGGAGGAGGGGAAGCTTGATTGAAAATGTACCGACGGCCGGGGCTTTTAAATTAAATCCTGACCAACGGAAACCGTGTTGCTACTTTGTATAATACGATCCTTGTCCACGTCTTCTTTTATGAAGCGCGCGGGGGAGGGGAGGGGAGGGGNATGCTAATCACTGTTGGGGAAAGGGGCGGGTTAATGATTGTAAACTTGGCTGACTGGATTTTACAATGCTGTTTCAGGGCGTTTCTCAATCCACTCCTTAATCTTGGGTTCATCTCTAACTTTTTTGTACAGAGCAGCAAGGCGAGGGCAGTCTTTCAACACAACTGGAGGATCCAGTTGGCCTTTGGCAATGTAGGCGTTGTAGAACGAGAAGAAGCAGATGTCTGCAAAGCTCAGCTAAAAAGAAAAAGGATAAATGAATATTATGTGTAAAGTGATTGAATAATTGGATTTATGGAAATACGAATTTAAACACGCATTTTAAGAGGGGACGGGGGGAACCCGTAGGAAATTAATTGTCAGTGAGTGGGGTCATTGGAATACTACAAAACCTAGGGGAGGGGATCAGGTGAATTTTATTATGGCACAGCCAAAATCGTCCTACCCCTCCCCTCCAGGAGAGCTTCCTTTCAAATAGTAGCTGTTCAGGAAGGTGAAAATCACGATATCAGCATAAGTCAACTGTGGAAGATAGATAAGTGTATGTAAATACGACTTCCAAATGATTGTGTAATTTTATCCAAAAAGCCCCAATCGGGAGACGGACAATCTAATCAGTACTAAACTGCACTCACAAATTGCAATCTGACGATGGCAGTGCAGAGCTCTGCATTGCTTTATACAGCATCACATTACATTATATTGCAAAATAATACTGAGTTGCTTTGCGCCCCATGGCACTGGACATCGTTATGCTACCTTATCTCCAAAAAAGAATCCCTCTTCATCGTTTGCCTCCAAAAACTTCTCAAAGTATCCGCATTTATCTGGAATTATTTCTTTGCGCGCAGTTCCTAGGGCTTTCTCCTAGACAGGAGGGAAAAGTAGCATATAATGAATGAATAGAAGGCGTAATGTTCAATTAAGTACAATAAAAGCCAGAAATTCAGACAAATAAAACATTATGGCGTTTTGTCTGAGAGTGAGCGATTTCACTAACCTTTACCGTTGAATCTTCGTGTCTATTAGCTGCGCTTAACACAGTTTCCAAGTCATTGATGATGTGAGCCAAGACGTCCGCCTGCGCCAGTTGAAAATTATCTTCTGGAGCGAGATCTGAAGCAAAACTTGGCTGATGTTAATAGAGGATATTTCGTTACTGCGTATTTGGGTAGAGTATTCATGGTCCATCGTGACACGAGAATACTCCACTCCGTGGACCGTTCAAAAAGTGCGAAAACGCATGCATGTCTTCTCACAGGTTTAGTCTCGTAACGCAAAGATTCCATAAGGCCGGTAAGGAAGGAGGGGGAAACTTAAGTATCCCGCATCCTATTAAATTTTGGCTTACTTCCTATGATTTGTATTGCTAGCATTCCAGTTAAATATCCTCAAATATCCCGTATCCATATGATTTTTATCAAAATATCCCGTATCCCGATAGCCCCTTTAAAAGGGCCACATGCCTCCCGAGAAAACGCGTTGCGTGACGGAAACGAATAACGACTGCAGCTAGAACAAGTGATACTTACTCAGTTCTTTGCCGACGTAACTGAGGATGACTTTGGACTCCATGAGTACCTTACCATCAACATAGAGCACTGGCAGCTGACGGGAAGGGCTTATTCCAGCTTAAACGAGTTAATACATAAACTAAAATATAACATTTCTATATTTTTATTTAAGAACTTGAATTTATTTTCAACAAATAAACAAACGAACAAGCGATCTAACCGCATCTAACCAAGTAAGACAACGCTTGTTATTTATTATCGTTCATAAAACTATTCCAGTCATCATGAATAACACTGAATTGTGAAAGAGAACGGCCGCTCAGACCCAGAATTTGGACGTTATCCTGAGGTATGGCGCGGAAGCCGAACGAACGAAGTATGCTTTCGCAATAATCTGCAGTCTAAAAGCGTCTACGGTGAAAGCTACGCGTTTATCAGCTTTGTGTATGTCAAAAAGAATCAAAAGCAAAGATCCTGGACTTAGCTATCGTTTGCACACTCATACAAAGTGTAATTATTCAAAACCAGGCGTTTGTGGTTTGAATATTTAGCATCTCAGCTGGAATTTGTCGATCTAGTTATCAAATTAATTAGCCCCAATTAGTAAATTGGGGCTGCGGCAATATTTGCACCTGTCACCTGCAATTCACAGAGACCAGTTCAGTGCACTCCTGCTAAACGTAGTGAAGGAAATTTTAATGAGTTGTTCGATTACGGTAAAGAAACTTGATCAGCTAGGAATTTGAGGACCAGACGTTCATTTTGGCATTGATGAAACGGTTGGCAGCAGGATATTCCCGCAGATAGCTTCCTTACAGTAGCTGTCTCGTGCTTTTACATCAGATTTGACTAGCTCCGCGGAGGATCCAAGCTTTGCGATTACGCAATACTTTAATGACTACTCACAATTCTTGTATTTTGAAATCCACTCGTCTATTGAATAACATACGTCCTCGAATTCAACTCCAGCGGCGGCAAAAACCATTCTAATGGCTTCCGCTTTTGCGCGAAGCGGAAAGTAAATTAATTTGTACGATGGCATTGTTTGCAGAAGCTGTAAGAAGCAAGCGAAACAATTCCGTGTGCAGCGAAAAGTGCGTCGCGTCCTACGACATGTGACTTACCAGGTCAATGCTTCTGATAATGTCCAAGAGTATCCGATTTCTTGAGTGGGAGGGTGGGGAGGGGAGGGGAGGGGGGTGTTTATGTCGGAAAACACCGAAGATGTTCGGAAACTTTCTATGACTCAATCGGAATCTCTTGTTAACTTATTCCCAGATCTCTTTACTTCTCATCATCCCTCCCGGGAGTGACAGGACTGACAGGGTGAGAACTGTTAAGGGAATGGGGAGAAGGGGAAGAGGCAAGGCCCTTCAAAGGAGGCTAAATCTTCTCTCGATGAAATACAGTGTTCGTTTTTTAAATTAAGACTAGAAAAATTTTAACTGATATGAGAAATCGATAGGAAAAATGCTTTATAAATGACATTTTTATCGCAGCAAAGCTAATGGAAGTTCCGTCAGTCCTAGTTGGTAACTTTCTAGGTTGTAAATCAACGTATCTCAGTGTAAACAGACACAAAGAATAAATAGAATAATTCTTGTGGTTAAGAAGCATACAGAATCATTATTTTATGGTTGATGACTCTTTACACCCTAATGTCAGTATGCATATTCTCCATACTGTTCTCTGTATATTTCCCAAGGTGGTTACCAAGAAGAAATTGTATATCATAACGAAACTTCAATGGTTGGTAATTATTTGCTTTATTCCCGTGTCCTTAACGAGTGATTCAGGGGTGATATTGTAAGGAGATTAAAGACAATGCTAATCACTGTTGGGGAAAGGGGCGGGTTAATGATTGTAAACTTGGCTGACTGGATTTTACAATGCTGTTTCAGGGCGTTTCTCAATCCACTCCTTAATCTTGGGTTCATCTCTAACTTTTTTGTACAGAGCAGCAAGGCGAGGGCAGTCTTTCAACACAACTGGAGGATCCAGTTGGCCTTTGGCAATGTAGGCGTTGTAGAACGAGAAGAAGCAGATGTCTGCAAAGCTCAGCTAAAAAGAAAAAGGATAAATGAATATTATGTGTAAAGTGATTGAATAATTGGATTTATGGAAATACGAATTTAAACACGCATTTTAAGAGGGGACGGGGGGAACCCGTAGGAAATTAATTGTCAGTGAGTGGGGTCANNTTTGTCATCATAATAGAACTTTAGTCACACACCAAAATAGCCGCAGATTTATTGACCTTTTTACACCCTAACCGATCAGTATTCATATTCTCCATACTGTTCTCTATACATTTTTTAATAAGCTGACAAGGAGAATTTGTTTAACAATCAAGAGTTCCTTCAGTTGGTGACCCTTCCCTTCATTCACTTGACTTACATGTTCGATTCAAGGGCGATATTGTAAGGAGAAATTAGATGCTAGTCACTCTTAGGGATCAAGGAGTTGAGGAACATGGGGGAAGGGAGTCAGGAGAAATTAGATGCTAGTCACTCTTAGGGATCAAAGAGTTGAGGAACGTGGGGGGGAGGGAGTCAGGAGAACTTAGATGCTAGTCACTCATAACGATCAAGGAGTTGAGGAACATGGGGGAAGGGAGTCAGGAGAAATTAGATGCTAGTCACCCTTAGGGATCAAGGAGTTGAGGAACACGTGGGAATGGAGGCAGTAGAACTTAGATGCTAGTCACTCATAAGGATCAAGGTGTTGAGGAAAATGGGTGGATGGAGTCAGGAGAAATTAGATGCTAGTCACTTTTAGGGATCAAGGAGTTGAGGAACATGGGGGGAGGAATTCAGGAGAAATTAGATGCTAGTCACTCTTAGGGACCAAGGAGTTGAGGAACATGGGGGAAGGGAGTCAGGAGAACTTAGATGCTAGTCACTCATAACGATCAAGGAGTTGAGGAACATGGGGGGATGGAGTCAGGAGAAATTAGGTGCTAGTCACTCCTAGGGATCAAGGAGTTGAGGAACATGGGTGGAGGAATTCAGGAGAAATTAGATGCTAGTCACTCTTAGGGATCAAGGAGTTGAGGAACATGGGGGGAGGGAGTCAGGAGAAATTAGATGCTAGTCACTCTTAAGGATCAAGGACTTAAGAAACATGGGGGGATGGAGTCAGGAGAGATTAGATGCTAGTCACTCTTAGGGATCAAGGAGTTGAGGAACATGGGGGGAGGGAACTTTTTGATTACGCAATACTGTAATGACTACTCACAGGTCTTGTATTTTGAAATCCTCTCGTCCATTGAATAACATACGTCCTCGAATTCAACTCCAGCGGCAGCAAAATCCATTCTAATGGCTTCCGCTCTTGCGGGAAGCGGAAAGTGAATTAATCTGTACGATGGCATTGTTTGCAGAAGCTGTAAGAAGCAAGCGAAACGATTCCGTCCTACGACATATGACTTACCAGGTCAATGCTTCTGATGATGTCCAATAGTATCCGATTTCTTGAGTGGGAGAGTGGGGAGGGGAGGGGAGGGAGGTGTTTATGTCGGAAAACACGGAAGATGTTCGGAAACTTTCTATGACTCAATCGGAATCTCTTGTTAACTTATTCCCAGATCTCTTTACTTCTCATCATCCATCCCGGGAGCGACAGGACTGACAGGGTGAGAACTGTTAAGGGAATGGGGAGAAGGGAGAAGAGGCAAGGCCCTTCAAAGGAGGCTAGATCTTCTCTCGATGAAATACAGTGTTCGTTTTTTAAATTAAGACTAGAAAAATTTTAACTGATATGAGAAATCGATAGGAAAAATGCTTTATAAATGACATTTTTATCGCAGCAAAGCTAATGGAAGTTCTGTCAGTCCTAGTTGGTAACTTTCTAGGTTGTAAATCAACGTATCTCAGTGTAAACAGACACAAAGAATAAATAGAATAATTCTTGTGGTTAAGAAGCATACAGAATCATTATTTTATGGTTGATGACTCTTTACACCCTAATGTCAGTATGCATATTCTCCATACTGTTCTCTGTATATTTCCCAAGGTGGTTACCAAGAAGAAATTGTATATCATAACGAAACTTCAATGGTTGGTAATTATTTGCTTTATTCCCGTGTCCTTAACGAGTGATTCAGGGGTGATATTGTAAGGAGATTAAAGACAATGCTAATCACTGTTGGGGAAAGGGGCGGGTTAATGATTGTAAACTTGGCTGACTGGATTTTACAATGCTGTTTCAGGGCGTTTCTCAATCCACTCCTTAATCTTGGGTTCATCTCTAACTTTTTTGTACAGAGCAGCAAGGCGAGGGCAGTCTTTCAACACAACTGGAGGATCCAGTTGGCCTTTGGCAATGTAGGAGTTGTAGAACGAGAAGAAGCAGATGTCTGCAAAGCTCAGCTAAAAAGAAAAAGGATAAATGAATATTATGTGTAAAGTGATTGAATAATTGGATTTATGGAAATACGAATTTAAACACGCATTTTAAGAGGGGACGGGGGGAACCCGTAGGAAATTAATTGTCAGTGAGTGGGGTCATTGGAATACTACAAAACCTAGGGGAGGGGATCAGGTGAATTTTATTATGGCACAGCCAAAATCGTCCTACCCCTCCCCTCCAGGAGATGAATAATATCCGGTCGCTAAGGCAAAAAGGGTCTGGAAACAAGGCAGATACTCGTCAAGGTAGCGAAAACAAACCACTGAGAACGGAACCACTTGCCTTATTTCCAACACAGTAGACCTCATCTTTAGGATTCTGTTCCAAGATCTTTTCAAAATACTTAGTTTGCCTGGGTAAAGACTCCCTATTGAACTTTTCCATCAGAGCTTTCTGTGGATTTAAAATAAAAGGAGATATGAAAAAATTACTGTAATGAAATGATTTGACTGGATTGCAATTATAATAATAATGCTGTCAATGGACTAATACAGAANAAACGCGTGAGACTTTAATTTTTCGATAGTCAAAAGTAGACTGAATTCATCTCGCAGTCATACTTGCGTGTTGAGAATTTTCATTTCTCGCTAAACCATGTTCCGCTTCAGGAGATCCACTTATTGTTGTGATTCAATGTAAGCCTGACTCAGCAAGCTTCTATAAAAAGACACTTGAAAGATGATATTTTCATATATGCAATGTAAACTAATCATAGGCCAACATCACGAACAGCTTTGTCATCATAATAGAACTTTAGTCACACACCAAAATAGCCGCAGAGTTATTGACCTTTTTACACCCTAACCGATCAGTATTCATATTCTCCATACTGTTCTCTATACATTTTTTAATAAGCTGACAAGGAGAATTTGTTTAACAATCAAGAGTTCCTTCAGTTGGTGGCCCTTTCCTTCCTTCACTTGACTTACATGTTCGATTCAAGGGCGATATTGTAAGGAGAAATTAGATGCTAGTCACTCTTAGGGATCAAGGAGTTGAGCAAGATGGGGGAAGGGAGTCAGGAGAAATTAGATGCTAGTCACTCTTAGGGATCAAAGAGTTGAGGAACGTGGGGGGAGGGAGTCAGGAGAAATTAGATGCTAGTCCTTCTTAGGGATCAAGGAGTTGAGGAACATAGGGGGAGGGAGTCAGGAGAAATTAGATGCTAGTCCCTCTTAGGGATCAAGCGGTTGAGCAACATGGGGGGAGGAATTCAGGAGAAATTAGATGCTAGTCACTCTTAGGGATCAAGGAGTTGAGGAACATGGGGGAAGGGAGTCAGGGGAAATTAGATGCTAGTCACTCTTAGGGATCAAAGAGTTGAGGAACGTGGGGGGAGGGAGTCAGGAGATATTAGATCCTAGTCCCTCTTAGGGGTCAAGAGGTTGAGCAACATGGGGGGAGGAATTCAGGAGAAATTAGATGCTAGTCACTCTTAGGGATCAAGGAGTTGAGGAACATGGGGGAAGGGAGTCAGGAGAAATTAGATGCTAGTCACTTTTAGGGATCAAAGAGTTGAGGAACGTGGGGGGAGGGAGTCAGGAGAAATTAGATGCTAGTCCCTCTAAGGGATCAAAGAGTTGAGGAACATGGGGGGAGGGAGTCAGGAGAAATTAGATGCTAGTCCCTCTTAGGGATCAAGGGGTTGAGCAACATGGGGGGAGGAATTCAAGAGAAATTAGATGCTAGTCACTCTTAGGGATCAAGGAGTTGAGGAACATGGGGGGAGAAATTCAGAAGAAATTAGATGCTAGTCACTCTTAGGGATCAAAAAGTTAAGAAACATGGGGGGGGAGGGAATTCAGGAGAAATTAGATGCTAGTCACTCTTAGGGATCAAGGAGTTGAGGAATATGGGTGGAGGGAGTCAGGAGAAATTAGATGCTAGTCCCTCTTAGGGATCAAGGAGTTCAGGAATATGAGGAGAGGGAGTCAGGAGAAATTAGATGCTAGTCACTCTTAGGGATCAAGGAGTTAAGGAACATGGGGGGATGGAGCCAGGAGAAATTAGATGCTAGTAACTCTTAGGGATCAAGGAGTTGAGGAACATGGGGGGAGGAATTCAGGAGAAATTAGATGCTGGTCACTCTTAGGGATCAAGGAGTTCAGCAACATAGGGGGAGGGAGTAAGGAGAAATTAGATGCTAGTCACTCTTAAGGATCAAGGAGTTGAGGACCATGGTGGGAGGGAGTAAGGAGAAATTAGATGCTAGTCACTCTTAAGGATGAAGGAGTTGAGGAACTTAGGGGGATGGAGTCAGGAGAAATTAGGTGCTAGTCACTCTTAGGGATCAAGGAGTTGAGGAACAAGGGGGGATGCAGTCAGGAGAAATTAGATGCTAGTCACTCTTCAGGATCGAGGAGTTGAGGAACATGGGGGATGGAGTCAGAAGAAGTTAGATGCTAGTCCCTATAATAATAATGCTGTCAATGGACTAATACAGAATTGATTAATTTATTGCATTGCTGTAACTAAAAAAAGAAAATTACTTCCAAAGTCACGAATTTCATTAACTTTATTTACTTTGGAGGGTTGTGTATCTTGGAATTCGGGTTTTTTCAAAGAATTCTACCTTTCGGAATTTTGATATTACTACTGTCCACAAACTGGATAGATAATCGCCCTGGCCATCCCTACCTCTTTATTTTCCTTCTTTGTAGCCCTTTTTCGATAAAACTAATAGCAGCCAGTTTTTTTTTTTTGTTTGTTTGTTTTTTCTATCTAAGTCCTCCGCACGAGTCAGGAAATCAGCGCAAAAAATACACAGACCGCCATTCAAACTATGCGCCTCACTCCCAGAGAACCCAGAGGTTGCAGCGCGCAGTTCATCGTATTATTTCTATCTCTCTGTGTCTGTCTCTTTTTATTTTTATTTTTTTCACCAATTTTTCTAAATTAACTCTATTGATTCATTTGGCAAGGAGGAAGCGTTCGAAGTCTATTCGTTGATGGACCCTCCATTGGCAAATTTGTACAGTACCTGTTGGGTTGGGTCAGCAGGGAACATGGCACGAACGATTTCGTTCTCTAAGTCGTACACTCCTTCAGCAAACATATCTGCTTTGGCTTGCTGCAGATCATTGCTGGGCATCAAACCTGTAAGGGACATAAATAAACTTCTCCTTACCAAGAATAAAGGGGGTAACTTTTTAAAGAATCTGTGGTGCTGCGTCAGTGGGAGTAACACGGTAATTTTGGTTTCATCAACTGAATTGATAATGTAAATTAGCCACCGTAAATGGTTTCAAAACTAACGTTTTGAGCATAAGCCCTTCGTCAGAGCGAAGAGTAAAATTTGAGCCAAAATTCACATCTCGAAAGAAGTGAAGCCAAGGCTTGTAAAGGAAGCGAGTTTGTGGCCCCGTGCATTACTTCCAAGTAAATTTGAATACGCAGAAAAAAACTTTCCAAACTTTCCATCCAAAAACGAAAAACAGGTACCACTGAAGTTTTCTTTCCACACACGCAAAGAAATTAGACAAAACAACATTTAAGATACATAATGCAAAAAACAAAAACAAAGCGAACAAAAAAGTAGAAAACAAAAAGATGGACGTCAAGTGTTTTCGAAACGGTTAGGTTTCAATTTTTTCGTCCCTGATCCTTATTACATACTGCTTTTCAGAACTCTGTTTTCGGTGGAAAATTTATGCGTAAATTTGTCCTAACCGTAGCATCAGGAAATACGTTTTGGGATTTATCCTGCCTCATGAGGACGGAGTCTGGTAAGAAGTGGCACAGTGTTGAAAGTGTTTGCTGGTATCTTAATCTTGTGTACTCTGCGCTGGCGTTAAATTGAACGTCACGCAACCCTTCTTCCAACAGACCGCGTGTAGCGTGACATCCCAAGAAACGGCTGCGAAAGAGAGCACTGTAATACAATTGGACATACCATGTCGTTTGGCTACAAACCGAAGGATAGCCATGGACTGGCAAAGGGTCACTCCCTCGACTTCAAGAATAGGTATCAGTCCAAAAGGGCACCTTCCACCTGCAGAGGAAACAACGCTCTTACTACTGTTCCAAAACACATTTAACCCACACCTCATGAAACTCGATTCAATCGATGCTCTGTGATCTGAACTTACTGTGCTTGAGTGCCAACCACTCTTCGCCTTTAGGATCAAACGGAATACGAACATCGTCATATTCTACCCCTGCATATGCGAAAGCGAGTCGTGTGGGTTCTCCCCGGGCTCGGAGATTGTAGTAAGTTAACTTGTATGTAGTCGCCATTTAACGCAATGAATAGGCAAAAAATATTGACTCGCAACCAAATCAGTGAGCTGCGAAATGAGATGTGTACTCCACTGACACTCATATTTACATGCAGATCGAAACCATATCGAGGTCACATTTTTTATCATAACGAGGTCACGTTTTCTCGAGTTTTCTCGACAGCTCGAACTGTAATAACAAACTTCTACCATTTTATACTAAAACGCGTGAGACTTTAATTTTTCGATAGTCAAAAGTAGACTGAATTCATCTCGCAGTCATACTTGCGTGTTGAGAATTTTCTTTTCTCGCTAAACCATGTTCCGCTTCAGGAGATCCACTTATTGTTGTGATTCAATGTAAGCCTGACTCAGCAAGCTTCTATAAAAAGACACTTGAAAGATGATATTTGCATATATGTAATGTAAACTAACCATAGGTCAACATCACGAACAGCTTTGTCATCATCATAGAACTTTAGTCACACACCAAAATAGCCGCAGATTTATTGACCTTTTTACACCCTAACCGATCAGTATTCATATTCTCCATACTGTTCTCTATACATTTTTTAATGGACTGACAAGGAGAATTTGTTTAACAATCAAGAGTTCCTTCAGTTAGTGACCTTTCCTTCATTCACTTGTTTTACATGTTCGATTCAAGGGCGATATTGTAAGGAGAAATTAGATGCTAGTCACTCTTAGGGATCGAGGAGTTGAGGAACATGAGGGGAAGGAGTCAGGAGAAATTAGATGCTAGTCACTCTTAGGGATCAAGGAGTTGAGGAACATGGGGGGAGGGAGTCAGTAGAAATTAGATGCTAGTCACTGCTAGAGATCAAGAAGTTCAGGAACATGGGGGGAGGGAGTCTGGAGAAATTAGATGCTAGTCACTCCTAGGGATCAAGGAGTTGAGGAACATGGGGGGAGGGAGTCAGGAGAAATTAGATGCTGGTCACTCCTAGAGATCAAGGAGTTGAGGAACATGGGGGAAGGGAGTCAGGAGAAATTAGATGCTAGTCACTCTTAGGGATCATGGAGTTGAGGAACATGGGGGCAGGGAGTCAGGAAAAATTAGATGCTAGTCACTCCTAGGGATCAAGGAGTTGAGGAAAATGGGGGGAGGGAGTCAGGAGAAATTAGATGCTAGTCACTCTTAGGGATCAAGGAGTTGAGGAACATGGGGGGAGGGAGTTAGGAGAAATTAGATGCTAGTCACTCTTAGGGATCAAGGAGTTGAGGAACATGAGGGGAGGGAGTTAGGAGAAATTAGATGCTAGTCACTCTTAGGGATCAAGGAGTTAAGGAACATGGGGGGAGGGAGTCAGGAGAAATTAGATGCTAGTCACTGTTAGGGATCAAGGAGTTAAGGAACATGGGGTGAGGGAGTCAGGAGAAATTAGATGCTAGTTACTCTTAGGGATCAAGGAGTTGAGGAACATGGGGGGAGGGAGTCAGGAGAAATTAGATGCTAGTCACT